GTGTGGAAGGAAAAGGAGAACAGAGAATAGGCGGATGAGAGAAGGACGGGAAGAGAAGATAAACAGATGTTGAAGAGAAAGGGGGAGTAGATGCCTGTTTCTAGAAATATGGGAGAGAAACAGAGTTAAAAGAGGAAGAGAGCAGGAAGAGTGATGCAGAGGAATAGCGTTGAAAGAGAAAGGAAGCAAGGGGACGACGGGGGATCGAAAGGGGGCTGAAAGATGACTCTTAGTCACCATTCGATTTGACACAGTAAAATTAGAAAATTTAATATTTAATACTGAATTATGTATAATGCATCGGTGCGTGAAGTATTGGGATAAAAAAGCTTTGTTCCTCAATTTACCTGTTTCTCTTTGAATTCATTTAAAAAAAACCATCGTTTAGTTAGAAAATGGTAAGTATTGCTAACGAAATACTTCTGAGTGCAAAGGATTAACCCTTTGCACTCGAGGCGCCGTCCAGTCGCCATTTGATTTGACCCAAGAAAATTGTAAAATTGAATATTAAATTTTATATAATGTACGAACACATGGAACATTAAAATAAAATAGTTCTGTCACTTAATTTATTTAAGGTATTTCTGTATGTTAATTGCAAAAAATACCATTGACATTTCATCAGAAAATAATGAATATTTATTGAGAAAAATATTCTCGAGTAAAGGGTTAATTGTGCCCACAATTATGAAAGTCGTGTAAGTTAAAATTTAACACTAAAACTACTCCTGATATTTCCTTTTTACAGTTATTGAAAAATTAACAGATGTTTCTATGAGAAATCATTGAAACAGTTGATTAACAATACAAATACAAATTGTAAATCAATTAAAGTCTCAATAGACGCACTCTGGAGTTTCTATAGAGCAATTTCGAAATGTCAATTTAGTCACATTCGAACTTTTTAATTAAATTTTTCGATTGTTTCATATTGCATTTCCAAAGGTTTCTTTGGGCTTTGAAAATTTAGGCCCTATAAACAAAGACAATAACATTTTAAGCATTCCTTTTGTTCTCGTGAGAAAATAAAGAATTCATGAAAGAATTAGTGTCATTTCAAGCTTTAAGATGACGTGTATACTCGTCAAACACAGTTAACTGGTTAATTGAATTCTGCGGAGGTCGATAGGGCCGGAATCCGCGCTAGGCAACGCTCGTTTCCCGCGCAAAGCCAAATTAATTCTTTGTTGCCCCGTAATCCACGTGGTCGGCGAACTCTCGTTGAATTGTGCCCGTAATTACTAAAGTGGTCTAAGTCATGTATTCCTTTTCTTTTGTTTCAATTCGCTTTAACCAGTGAACTGTGTTCGACGAGTATACACGTCATCTTAAAGCTTGAAATTATACTAATTCTTTCAACGATGAATTCTTTATTTTTTCAGGTACACATGTAATTCTTCTTTCATTAAAATATACTCTACGTGCATTCGTCCTGCGTTTATCGAGTGCATACTTCATTTTTTTTATTTTATTGCGCGCAGAACCAGAGGTTTTTCCAACTAAATTCCACAGTTAACTGGTTAAACAAA